GGATTTGGTAGACACAAATCTGTGTTGAGGTGTGGATGTCTAGTCTAGTGACACTGAACTCCTTGAAGACAGCTAATGCTCTCTTCTTCCTCAACATCTCCACCACTGAGACAGGTACGAACCAAGTGACGGTGAAAGATCCAGTCCCAATGCTGTTCAGCATCATGGCACATGTCTGAAGGTCGTAGCTGCTGGCATATCGTCTCCTGAACTTCTCAACGTCCTCCAGTGTTGCAGTTCGGGGCCAGTCAAACTTGACTACCATCTTCCTGAAGCCAGGTGGAGGATCTTCATCGAGCGGCCGAGGGTCAGCCTCACAGAACAGAACCAATGCCGTACGCTTTTTAAACTCTTCCAGATCCTTCTTGTAGGCGGTCATCTCACTAGCAGTCGTGTTGAAATCCTCATGTCTCTCAGTCAGTTCTCCGATCAGGTGGTCGAGCAGATCAGGTGCGAGGTAGTTCCAGTAGAAGTTGAGAGATCCAAACAGCTCAAGATGGTCTTCACACTGGCGAAGAGCCTTGTGATTCTCTTTCAGAAATATTCGATGCTCGTGTGTCCGAATGTTGGTGAGAATGTAGACAACTGTTAGGACGGCAATACAGCATCTTCTGTAGGCCTTGGATTGCAAGGTCCTTTAGAGCGTTGAACCTCTTGTGAAGGCGTTTGATTTCAGTCTCCACTGCCGTAACTATTAGATGAGTTACACATACAACTACAACCCAAGGTACAGTTTACTCTCACTATTAGCAGGGTTCAGTTGAGAAGATGGCTTTGATTTGACCTCATCATCACCAGCAGTAGTGTTGGCTGCAGACTCTGTGGTGTTTCAGATGATAGTGATACCAGCTAAACCAACCAGCAAGAGAACTATGAGTGGTAACATACCAGTAGTAGCCTCAGGTACCACGTCATGTGTTGCGGTAGAGTCAGGGAAATGAGTTGCTTCCACCCTCGCAGCTAATGCTGGTAGATTGACAGAAGGACTCCTGAGAGCTTCCACAATGACCCTCCATGTCGGTCTGGGCTGGATTTGCCTCGTGAAGGCAAGAAGAATGCGCAGCAGACGCTCTAGGGGATCCTGGTATCGGCAGTGAATAGCCTCCACCTCGTGTTGCGGCAGTAGCTTGAGCCCGAGCACGTAGGACTGGTTCTGCGCCTCCACAAGCTCGTCCAAAATTTCCGAGACGTCGTCTGATTTCAACGTCCCGTCGACCGCTGGGGCTGCGCAAGCAACTAACATTATACAGCATATTCACCCTCTGTGATTGCCCACCTTCCGTCATCTGTAAGAGCAGTAGTTTACCGTGGAGAGAAGAGCTGATCGTCTCTGTTGGTGTGTTTACCTTGTATCCGTGCAACGCCCCCTAGTCCCGCGGCACCACACCTACGAGGCGCCGTTAAATACTTGGCATTCTTGGGCGGATACCGACTCCAGCATGCCACCCAAGCGCACAATAATAGTGCATGGACTGAGCACACACACTCATGTTAGCGCTCACCTTCATGGGCAAAGGCCATTGCACAATCGGGGGAGCACACCCGAGTATATAGAGCCGGCAGTGTTAGCGCGGTAGTGTGGTAGTCCGTGCGGGATAAAGAGCGCCTGGGTCAACATGCCTCCAACACAATAAATAACAAGTAAATAAAAAATTCTGCGAATTAAAAAAGTGTGGAATATAGGGATGCCATAAAAATCAAGGAGACAAGACAGGGATGACCTAGTGTATGTGATGCATTAGTACTATGGGATGATGGTTACATTTTCAAACTGACATTGCTTGCTTGTGTAAATCTTCCTCTTGTATCCGTATCGATGAACTCTCACCATGGTACATCAGTGTACCAAGTTTCATTGTTAGAGGACCCACAATATGCAAGTTACAGGCACAAACATCATTTACAAGTATTCATTGCCTGAGGCTGTTTGTTGTTGTTTACTAACTTGTAATTTCTGTTTCGATGAACTCTCATCATGGTACATCAGTGTACTAATTTTCATTGTTAGAGGTCCCACCATAAGCAAGTTGTAGGCAATAATATAGTTTACTGGTTTTTATTGCCTGGGGCTGTTTGTTGTTGTTTACAAACTTGTAATGTTTACATATTGATACTAATGATGGGTTGCATGTGTGTACAAAGTTTTATTACTCTGGGTATTAGCTTTACCCAGTTAGCACACTTTATTTGTCTCTATAATAATGTATTGCCTGGGGCTATTTGTTGTTGTTTACATGTAAACAAAATTGTTTACGAAGAAATAAAAATGCTCTTGCACGACCTGTCATGGATTCCAATCTTTGTGCAAAGTTTGATCTCCATATCTTACCTGGTTTTTGAGATACGCTTGTTGAAACTGAACAACAACAACAAGAAGAAGAAGAAAATTGAAATAAAAAACTCTTTGTGACGATACAAATTAGTCTCATGTGTCAAAAGTTGGATCTGATTGAAATAGAAAGTGAAACATGAAAATCCCAATATATGAGCATAATGCAGGACAACCTGTGTCATCCCTATACTAAGTACTACTGTACTTAGTGATAATAATTATATATAGGACACAGTGAACGAGCCACACCTCTCGAGCACTCGCAGAGGTTCAGCCAGCAATCACGTGCGATCCGTAGTTAAAACAGTAGTTGGTCTGTGTGTGTGTGTGTGTGTGTGTGTGTGTGTGTCTGTCCGACTATTCTGGCACTACAGGCTACGAGGAGGCATAAGAGCGATACCAAACGCTTCAGTGCTATAAGCGCATGAAATAAAAAAGGCGATTTTCCTGAAACGAATGCGTTCGAGAGATGGTATGTATCGACTCCTGCATGCTATCTACTACTGTAGCTAGCCAGTGTCAGACTCTCCGCGAGCTACTAGCGGGAGACCATGAGTGTATAACGCGTACAAACGGCCAATCCATCAATTTGAGTATCGCGCATGCGCAGTTCGCCGAGGGTAGTCATGGAGAATGATGTCATCGTAAACAAACTTGTCGATGTCGGAGACCTGTCTTCTCAGTTCCAGTCTCGAGAATGGTCTCGGGCTCCGCTGGATCTGGGTACAGGAATGGGGGAATGACACTGCCCCTCTCATTACCATGGTCTTATTATTACCACAAATTCAATCAGGGTCTGTTTAGCAAGTTTTGGTACGTTCATTATACAGTGGAACCCCTCTAATCCTGACACTGATAGGGAGAAGAAAGTAAGGTGTCCTTATTTCAGGGGTTAAATTGCATGCAAGAAGTGTTACTGTAAGTGTGTATATTTTCAGGGGCGTCCTTAGAGATTGAGGAAATAAGGTTTACTGGCAGCAGACAATGTGATATTTTCGGTAACGAGATAGCGGGTTTACTGAAGAAGAAACCGGAAGATGAAGAATATGATGATGATGATGACACGAAAATCGTGAAATCGCGTAAGAGCCAATTCTCTCGTGGGGAACTGAGGGCACGTAGGAAGTCTTGGGGAGTATGTATAGCTAGGTATTGGCCTGTAGACTATTGCTAGTGATTTTCAAGCAATGGTGAGTCATTCTCGCCAAGTTTTGAGGCGTTTTGTACGCGGATCACGTGAGATTTCACCCGTGTCATCCCTATATAGAGCGTCTACCGACGCTCTGATATAGGACACAGTGAACGAGCCACACCTCTCGAGCACTTGCAGCAGAGGTTCAGCCAGCAATCACGTGCGATCCGTAGTTAACAGTAGTTGGTCTGTGTGTGTGTGTGTGTGTGTGTGTGTGTGTGTCTGTCCGACTATTCTGGCACTACAGGCTACGAGGCGGCCTAAGAGCGATACCAAACGCTTCAGTGCTACAAAGCGCATGAAATAAAAAAGGCGATTTTCCTGAAACGACTGCGTTCGAGAGATGGCATGTATCGACTCCTGCATGCTATCTACTACTGTAGCTAGCCAGTGTCAGACTCTCCGTGAGCTACTAGCGGGAGACCATGAGTGTATAACGCATACAAACGGCCAATCCATCAATTAGAGTATCGCGCATGCGCAATTCGCCGAGGGTTTGCACTTTAGTGCTCACTGAAGGTAATACAGTACATATCAACATGGAAAGGGAATAAAAGGTGCTAGACAGCCATGTCCATGTGTATCTTGG